CAAGATTTCTTCTTCAGGTTTGTCTTGTTTTCTCATTACGTATGCTCATCCACAAATTTTATAATTTCATGGGAAAAATAAAGTAATACATAATTAAAATTTTAGGTATTTCTTTGAGAAGTCAGATTGATAATGCAGAAAACGACAATCATTGATCTTCTCTCAATAATTTATAATCAATGTTGAAAACTTTTTTGGGGAGAAGAAGATGATGCAATATTTTTAAAACACATAGGAAAGGAAAGGAAAGGAATCAATCATTTTATTCCTTTCAGAAGAAATCTTTATACTTGTCCTCTGAGATCCTCCTTCCTTCATGTGTAACTACAATTTTTTTACCATCATCTAATCATTCCAAATATCACATGATGCTTCTGCCCATCCTCGCCTATCATGTTATCTGTCATTGTCGTTTAGTTTTATTTATTTGGTAATACAATCAGTTAGAAATTTAATTTTTTATTTTAATTGAATAAGTTCAGTTGAAAATAATCTTGTTTATATATATAATTTTAACGAAAAGCATATAATTTCAGTTCTCAAATAAAAATATTGAAATATTAATTATATATTCTCTCTATATTGAAATAATTTTTCCATTGTAAGAGCTATTAAAGCATTACTTCATGGAGGTTGGACTGTTAAGGTTTGTCATGTCCATAGGAAACTAATCATTGTGTTGATTGTTTAGCTTCTCATGCTTTCTCTCTTGGCCTTGATGTTCATTTACTTGATTCTCCTCCTAATGGCATTTCTTCTCTGATCAGTGATTGCTGCTCTCTTGCTTCTAGGTCTTTATTCGCCTCTTGTAGTTCTTCTTCTCGAGCTTCAGAGCTACTTTTAATTTATAAAAATTGGGTTTTACGTCGTGACTAAATTTAGAAAGCAAATCGAGCCTTATTTCATTTTTTTCTATAAAATATATATCTAAACAGTCAAATAGTGTGAGGATTGATGTGGGACATTTAGCAGGATTTTTTATTATCTATTTAAAAGCTAGATTATTTTTTTTATCCATTTTCAGATTGAAAAATTCTTAGTAAAATGGATAAAAAAAATTCAAGATAAAAAACAAGTGAAAAAAAAAAAGAAGCAATTGTTCAAAAACAAAAAGATTTGCCTCCAAAGCATCTGAGTTCCCTTCTGATGTGTTCTTCTGAACCGTCCACCTATATATATATGAAAGTTGAAACAAGGAAATATTTTAAAGCGTTCTCTTTGTTTAGCATTCCATTTATCTTTTTCTAGAAAATTTTCTTTATTTTTTATATTTTGACTGGCCAATATAATTATTTTTTTCAATTTAATATTTAATATATAATAATGATAATTGATAAATTTTAAATTATAATCTAATTCAACTAAAACCTCGGATACCTGTTCAGATGGTGTTCACCTGTGACCGAAACGTTCCTTTTTGAAACCTAATTTAATTCAACTAAAATGTTATCTTTTAAATTTTTTAACCTAAAATCTAGCTATATATAATTGAACTTGGATGTTACCATTAGGCACCAGAGGAGACTCCAGAGCTTACTGTTGCATTCCTATACAAGTGAGTTTGTTCTCCAGAGCTTAATTCAATACTCTCTCAAATATTGAATTGAAATTTAAAGTATCTTTGAAACAAATTAATTTTTTTTTATACATGGAAACAAATCAATTTAGTTTTGATGTTTATTAAGACCTTAAAAAAATATTATTAAAATATTTAATAGTTTAATTGATGTTTTTATTTATTAATTTTATATTAATTAATTTTTTTTTTATACATGGAAACCAATCAATTTAGTTTTTGATGTTTATTAAGACTTAAAAAAAATATTATTAAATATTTAATAGTTTAATTGATGTTTTTTATTTATTATTTATATTAATTATGTTTATGATATTAATCTAACATCACGTGATTAGTAAGAATTAACTAATCGAAATCAATGAGAGAATACATAATAAATAAAAATATGTATATATTTTTATATTTTAAATTTTATATAAAAATATTTAAATTGATGTTTTTATTTATTAATTTTATATTAATTATGTTAATGATATTAAATCCTAACATCACGTGATTAGTAAGAATTACTAATCGAAACAATGAGAGAATACATAAATAAATAAAAATATGTATATATTTTTATATTTAAATTTTATATAAAAATATTTAAAGAATTCTTTTTTTTGAGATTTAAATACATTTAATTATAAAATATTTGATAGTAATAATCATTCAACTAAAATATAAACCAAAATAAAATTCTAGGTGGTTGTCTCCTTTTATTTTCTATTTTAAAAAAAATTAAATTTTATTTTATTTCTCTATAATTTAATTGGATCTTAATGTATTTTTTAAATTTATTTACATTTATAATTATTTTAAGATATGTAGATTACTATGAGTTTATAATTTTTAAATTATCTTATTTTATTTAATTAATATTTTAAAACTAATTAAGATAATATAAGTAAGGCGGGAAGCGCGGAACGACCAGTTTAGTTATCGTACTGTGATATCAATGATTATGATAGGATAGCGGGTCGTCCAATCTGTTCACATCGATAGTCAACTTACTAGTCCACGTGGACATGGGATGGGCCCCTACTAAATTGGAAAGAGAAAAGATTTTCTCAATCAGTGTTTATAAGTCAGACTTAGGTGTGGACCATACCCCATCCTCATAGGTCAACTTTAGTGCCAATAGATTTCAATGCACGGATTGCCATATTACATGTCTTTACAAGTTTTTAATTTCAAGCTTCACAAAAAATTCATTTTTGTTTTTAAGTAACTAAATTTTTTATTTAATTTAAAATCTAACCAGCTGAAAAAATATTATGGGCCAAACTTAGAACATTTTACTTTATACCTATTTTTTTTTCACAAATAAAAAAAATACTAATATTATAAAATAAGAGTATAAGAGATAAAGTAATCCAAAATAAAACCCCGGACATACAAGATTTATTTAGAATAAAAATGAAGTTGCTAAAATAATTATGTATAAAGGGAAGGGGCGTAACCCACCAGCAATTGTTGGACCATGGTGCCAAACTTTCATTGCGGTGGCTTTTCACATAAGTCAAAAGACTAACTAAACTACACATATTCAACTGTTTTTAAATAATTATTATTGGATTGATCGATCAAAATCTAATGTATCTCTAAAGAAATTTTACTTATAAAATTAAATGTTTAAAATCTAAAGTAAGTTAGTATTATGTAAAATAATTTTTACCTAAATATTATCCTTTGTATTAAAAAAAAGGTATACGTACTAATAAAATAATACTTTTCATTGAAAAGAGAAAATAGTTTTTTTACTATTAAAATTTTCATTTTTTATTATTTTTCTAATGTGCACAAAGAACATTTTTCATTTGAGACATCTTCCTTTTTCATATTTTTATAAAAATAAAAAGTAAAAAAAATCAATCATATAACGAAAATTTATTTTTTTATGGTTTTGAATTAGTATATCATAAAATATGTTACTCCTTTACAATCTATTAGTTTTTATTCGATGGTTTCCCACAAATTAAAAGTGTTATTTTTATAATAATAAGCAATAAATTGTAGTATATTTTACTGAAAAATCTATAAAAAAATTTTTCTATAATTAATTATACTTTATTTGAATTAGGAGGACTAAGCCAAAGTAAAAGCTAGCTTTTATATTACATATATAGGACCTAGACGTTGATGTGTATCATTTCAACCTCGAAGCTTAAAAAATCATGCGCTCCACATGCTTACCTAACTTGTTGATGGCAATTTTCAAATCCTAATTTTAAATTTTTGAACTTTAACACTGATTTTTTTTTTTTTATTAGTTATGCATTGTTTGGATGGATGTAAAATAGAATGTGAAAATATCTTGAAAATTTTAAATTACCTTATTTGGTTTGGATGAAAATATTAAGGAGAATGTAAAATAAATTTATTTTACATTATATAATTTTTCTCTTAGAATGAAATGAAAATGAGTGCAAAGTTACTATTCATAGATAATAATAAAAATAAAATTATTTTACATCAATTTAAACATAGAAGGCAAAATAAGGAGATAAATTACACTCTTATCTTATTTCATTCTTTATTTTACTTGCTCCTTCCTTTCAAATATAATAATAGAGATTTAACATCTATGTTCATCACGAGTGAATAAGAGCTAGTTTAAAATTTAGTAAGAATAACTTTATCCTTTCGAGAGTTTATCTTGCCCGAGTCCAAATTAATAAAATCATATACTTAAAAAAAAAGTTCTTAGCTTATAAATAGTAATGCTATTCTAGAAAGTAAAGGTAATTATTTTAGTTTTATTTTGCATAAAAGCAGTTATTTAACCAACTATTTTGTATCTTAAATATTTACTATCACTCCGATATTTTTTTTAATACTTACAAGATTACAAAAGCAATTATATCACATTATAGGTGAATATATTGAATGTTTGAAATGCTACACTTTCAATTATTGCAATGATCATAACAACACAGCATAGGCGGCTACAAATATAATCCAAAATCAACATTTTGAACCTTTTCTACAAGTAGCTCAAAATTGAATTTATTTTAATTTAAATATAACCTAAATAAAATAGGGGGGAAAAAAAAATCTCCAAAGGCAAATCGAGTTGAAAACTAAACAAAAAAACACTCAATAATGCATTTTTAAGTGTCCATGTTTTTTACATTCCAACACAGAGCATTGCATATTTACTGTGTCTTTCAATTTTTAACTGCTATTGTAATTTCCTTCCTAAAAAAAATCAATGATGAAAAGATAAATACTGATTGAAACCAAAAAATTAATCTTTTACAGATCCTTGATTTGATAGTATTAAAAAAAAAAAAAAAGGCCAAAACGGCATAAAATGCCAAAGAGTTGAGCAGTAAGATCTCCAGCAATGGGCTGTATGCAATAGAAAACGACACCGTTCTACCTTGGATGTTAGTATCCAGTACCCATAAAATAAAAACAGCTCCTGCAGCTCTACTCAAACGCTCAGCCTCTCTCTCTGTATTGTTGTTTAGCTGTTGTCTGCGCATCCCCATTTTGAATTCTCTCCCTCCTTTCACACCTCTCTCTTTCTTTCTCTTATAAAACCGAAACCCTCTCTACTTCCTTTCTCTCTCCCCAGTCTTCGATAATCTCGTCTCCTTTCACTTTCTTTTCTCTAGTAAATCGCTTTCTTGCCAATCCTTTTCTTCGTTTTCTCGTTCTTGTTACTCATAACAGCTTGTTTGTTTCTTTTTTTTAATTTTTGTTCTCTGTTGCAGAGGAGGAGGAAAATATGGCGGTCAATTCTTCCACAGGAAGAAGTTCAGATTTGCTTATTCAGGTTCCAAGGAGGTTTAAAGACAGAGAAAATACTCCTGAAAGAACCAAACCTTTTCTTCAACCAAGTAAACCCAAAAACATAACTGATCAAAGGAAAGTCGCTGTGGTTTATTATCTTTCTAGAAATGGCCAGCTTGAGCATCCTCATTTTATGGAGGTTCCTCTTACTTCTAGTGAAGGTCTTTACCTAAAAGGTATATAACAATTAACTCTCTTTCTGGTTTTTTCTTTTCCGCGAGAAAAAATGAGGGGAAAAAGGGAAGAAATTAGAAAGTTTTTCGCCTTTATTTATTTATTTATTTATGTTTTCGCTTTTCTTTGTAAAACGGCCGTTGATAGTTTTGTTTATTAACTTTCTGTTTGCCAGCTGAGAAACTGCTATTTTACTCTCGGGATAAGATAAGAAAATTTGGAAAAATGCGTTGTCTATTACATGTTAACAAGATTTTTAAAATATGTTTCGGAAAAAGGATAAAGTTTTGTTAGTCAAGTTAGAATATTTCAGATTTTCAGCCGTTCGTATTTTCTTGCATTTTCTTGGCAATCAAACAGAGCTCTATTAAAAATATATAGTGCTTAAAAAATTAAAGTTCCTTTATTTTACAGATATTATCAATCGCCTAAACATTCTTCGAGGTAAAGGCATGGCTAGCCTCTACTCATGGTCTTCTAAAAGGTAAGAAAATTATTTTTAAAAATGACCAATATTCCTCTTCAACATTTTGACCTGATTTTCTTATCACATTCATCTCTGAGGTTCTGATAATCTAATATAATCTTCGACACATTAGGAGCTACAAAAACGGCTTCGTTTGGCATGATTTAACTGAGGACGATCTCATCTATCCTGCCCACGGTCATGAGTATGTCCTTAAAGGATCAGAGCTTCTCGATTCCTCTATAAACCCTAACAAACCGCTTCTCCTAGAAACGACATCGTCGTTTACATCGCCGAAACAACCTGAGATTCGTAAGTTATCTTCAAGTGAGGAAGCCAATTTTCCGGTTGTCACGCGGCGGAGAAACCAGTCATGGAGCTCTGTCGATCTTAATGAGTATAAGGTTTATAAAACCGAGTCATTCTCGGAGTCGGCTCAGAAACTCGCTGCTGACGCTTCGACTCAGACTGATGAGAAGAGGAGGAGGAGAAGGCCGGCAAAGCAAGAAGACGAAATTGAAGAATTGCAAGAGGAGAAAAGCCCGGAGCCGGAGGTGAACAGGGAAGAAATTGAGATTTCACCTCCGCCGTCGGATTCGAGTCCTGAGACATTAGAGTCTCTGTTGAAGGCTGATGGACGGCTGATATTGGGTTCAGGGAGCGGTAATGAGGAGAGTTTGAATCGGACGGTGGAGAATTGTGGGAGGACGAAGGCGTCAACCGTTCTAATGCACCTGATTTCGTGTGGTTCCATGTCATTTAGAGACTGTGGGGCCACGGCGGTAAGAGAACAAGGCTTCTCTTTGATTGGACACTACAAAGGAAGGCTGCCACGTGGAGGAGGGAACGGAGTGGGGACATCGAAGGAATTCACAAGTTTTGGAGGGGTGAGATTGGAAGAGAAAGAGTATTTTAGTGGGAGCTTGATCGAGACAAAGAAAGAGGAGGTCCCTGCTTTGAAGAGGTCCAACTCCTATAATGCAGATCGGTAAGTAATTTTTTTTTTTTTGTTAACTTAATCAAAAATTTTCCATTAGCATAATAAATTTTGTGATTGAATTGCTAGGCCCGGTCACGGTTCTATTCATAAATCAAGTTCTTTAATGATTTTTTTTAAGTCATGATATTTCTAATTATATATTGAAAAAAAGATAAAATGAGATCAATTTTTAAAAAATTTCTATTATTTTCATTAGTTAGAGACATACGTCAAATCTAAACAAAATGTAATTTATAAATTTCAAGGTATGAAACTCAATGACCTTTTAGATTAGACTTGTTGGGATTTAATTTATGGGTTTATACACGAACCAAACTAATGAAAATATTTTTTTTTTTAATAATTGTCTTTATTATTACTTGTTGGGATTTAATTTATGGGTTTAATTAGTTAGAAGACATACGTCCAAATCTAAAACAAAATGTAATTTAATAAATTTTTAAGGTATGAAACTCAAATGACTTTTTAGATTAGACTTGTTGGGTTTAATTTTATGGGTTTATACACGAACCAAACTAATGAAATATTTTTTTTTAATAATTGTCTCTTGTTGGGATTTAATTTATGGGTTTATACACGAACCAAACTAATGAAAATATTTTTTTTTTTAATAATTGTCTTTATTATTACTTGTTGGGATTTAATTTATGGGTTTATACGTCAACCAAACTAATGAAAATAGAAATTTTTTTTAATAATTGTCTTTATTTTTACTTGTTGGGATTTAATTTATGGGTTTATATGTGAAACAAACTAATGCAAATAGAAATTTTTTTAATAATTGTCTTTATTTTTATTTTATTAGTGAAAAATATTATCATTTTAATAAAAAAAAATCATAAGTAGATAGGGATATCAATTCCTAAGCTCAGGCATGTCAATACCTAACCTCTCAATCCAGAAGTGAAAATTTTCAAAGGAAAAAAAAAAAAAGGTGACCCACAAAGTATCCGTCAATTGTGGGTTTTGAAGAGGGTTAATGCATGCATTCTTCCCGCTCTGTAAAGAAAAGCTATTTTCTCAAATGTATGACCTTCATTTCACAATTTTTTAGTAACTTATTATTATTATTATATATAGTTTAGCAGGAAGTGATGTCAAAATTTTCTACTATCTCTGGTCCATCCCACTTTGCTGAAATGCTGGAATGGCAAAAAGATAAAAGATTCTTTGCAACTTGAAGCATTAGTATAGAAGTGAATTCTATTGTATTGGAATTAAAGTGAGTTTTTTTTAATGAAATGGGGAAAATATTGATTTGAAATTACATTGGAAAAAAGTTTCCCAAGATTTGCTAGCAACAGAGTCCATAGTTTGATTTTTGTTGCTTTGCCATTCCTGGGATCCAGTGTCAGAATACATTGATTTCTCTTTTAGCCTTTTGAATGAAAGAATCAAGAATCATATCGTACGATATTGAAAGCTGTAAGCTATCCGTTACTCTCTATTCACTTCTCTGCACCTGTACACGAATTGTAAACTCAAAACTGGCTTTACTCTTACGTATCACTGTTTTCTTTCAATCACTTTTTTGTTCACATGACTTGTTACTTCTTTTTATTTTTTCACCTTCCATAATTAATTTTGTATATATTTTTTTTAGTACAATACTCTTTTCCCTCTATTTTATTTTATGGGGTTAACGATGAAACAGGAGCTCAAGCTCGCAGTTGCAACTGGCAGAAAAGGAGGAAGACGGGGCACGAACCAAGTGCATACCAAGAAAGCCAAGGGCAATGCCAGCGCCAACCAAGAAAGAAAACACCACTAGTGTTTCTGGTGAAAGTAATAGTCAAGTAGGGAGCAAAAGATTCCAGATCCAAGTCGTCAGAACGTAACCGGAGGTGAAATGAGATTATCAAACACTTAGCTTTGTAAATGTAGTTTGGAACTAAATACTGAGAGCGTAGACAAAAAAGAGAACAAGAAAACCCAAAAATAAGAAAAGAGGAAGGAAAATATGCTAAATATTTGGTGGTGGATTCCAAATCACGGCGGTCTGGCCGGCGGGCACTTGCATTGAAGATTAGAGTGTGAGTTGATAAGTCCTATAAAGTGAAGGCTCTCTTTGTTGGAGCTTGTAAAATGTTCATTTGAGTTTGGAGCTTTCAGCTTAGGGTCAATGCTAGGTGTGCCTTAATTTTGGTGATTTGGTACAAATCTTAGTAGTTGTTTAAGCCTTTTAAGACACAATAGTTTTGACTCTAAAACATGGGAAATAGAATTTTGTCCTTGGTAATGTCATTTACTTTCTGGCTTCATTGATTTTAGTCCCCCACGTGACTTCTGCACTTCAATGCCGGCCAGGCTATGTATAGGGATTTGAGAGGTATTTGCCGGAGATTGCAGTTTTGGCAATTTGCAGGAGTGTTTATTTAATTAATGGATAATTGCTTATAATTATACTAATTAACTAAATCATATTATTGAAGAGGTTAGTATATAGATCCAATTGAATTAATAGTCCAAATTTAGCATAAAAGTCTTGTTTATTTATTTTTATTTTATAAAATCTAAATGCATAAATTTAATTCATTTACCTTTCATAAAAACTTTTGTAGCATTTTCAATTTTAATTTTGATCTAGTAAAATATTCAACTTAAAAATAATGGACTTATCAAATACTTCTAAGTTACAAAATCATTTTACGTAATGTTCTAATTTGTAAAATTAAATGGGGAATAATTGAAATATGTAATGATTATTATTTTAAAAGTTAACAAGACAATAAGTTAATATTTAGCATATAAAAAAATCAAAAATTAAAATATGCATTTACTAATATGGAGATGTGTGAAATGCTACTAAAATTCATAATTTATGATAATGTTAAAAAAAAAGCACTCAATGTTTTTGAGAGATATAATTCATTAATAATAAATTCAAGTATTACAAATACTCAATTAGATCATACTTAAAACTTGCTATCATAATTAATAGAAAATCCATTCATTCTTTAACTAATCAAAAGAGTTATCTATATTCTTTTGAATAATAAAACTAAAATTAAAAGAAATAATATTGAATTTTTCTGCTTAAAGATGAATTTAATCGATATAAATCTTCATATTTGTAACTGGTCCTTTAATTGAGTTAGACGACAAAATAACTTTTTTGGATCATACTTGGATTGCTTTTCCAAAAACTTATCGTATATGACGTACACGGATGAGTATATGCCACTAAATGTTAATAGCATCAAAGGAGGAACATATCGTACTATTATGCTTCATTGATTGAAAATACACACAAGTAAAATAAGATATAAATTGTCCAATCAAATATCATACATTTTAGTAACAAATCTTCATAAAAAAGGAACTAAATCCTCACGGAAGCAAAGACAAAAAACTTCAAGCACGAAGACAAAGCAACACTAATTAAAAAAAACAGATCTATTAGAATAAAATATATGAGTTTATTGAAAACCAATAAAATATCAAGAGCATGAAGAAAAAATGAAAAATAAAGGCTATCGCTAATTAACAGTGGCAACTCCAAATAAAAACTATGGTTAAATAGACTAAAGAGGAAAGAAGAAGAGAAAAATCCTAACAACACCGATATAAATTAATTAAAACACACTCAATTTTTAATTTAATCTTTCAATTTATAAAATTATATTGATGTATTTTAAAAAGTAAGAAGGTAGAGTTTAGCACGATATGAAGAGAAATTTATAATTTTTTCAATTAATAAATTGAACTTATATATGCAGTTGGATTTAAAAAAAACAAAAAAAGAATAAACCAAAAAAGAGGTGTGCGAAGTGGGCTTTGTCCATCTGTTGGACCGAGCCTGCAAAAGCAGCATGCATGATATATGGCCGAAGGCCTACATATGGTAGGCGAACATCGTGTCTTTCGACGGGAAGAATCAATAGTATTGTATGTGTCGTAGCTTTTCTTAATTCTTGCAGTGTAAATTACTATTTAGTTCCTTTTATTTAGTGAAATCAACTATTTAGGCTCTTTCTTTTAAAAAATACGTGAATACATCTTTGTAGTTTGCTTCCATTGGATTAACAATTCCATCGTCTAAAATTGTATTTTTACCGTTTAATTTTTAATAACAAGATCAAAATATTATTCATTATATTTCTATTATTATTCTTTATGCTAAAACCAAAAAATTAATTTTTTAATAAAAAATGAAAATTTAGTTAAATAATAATTGCTCATATCTATTTTGCATTAAAAAGATGAGCTTATTCTTGTGAACTCATATATATGGTGAATATTTTGACCGTTAATATTGTCATTTATTGTTAATTTCTACTGCCTAAAATTTAAAATTTCTATAAAAATTGGTCAAATTATGCATGAATTTATGATGTGCTTTTTACCAATAAAATTTAAATTCATCGGTAAATTTTGTTGCTAATATATCAATAATCAATTGCTTAAGTTACATAATCTTTTATAATTATAGAATTAATTTTTTCAGTAAATAGTTGCTAATCTGTAAGTAATCACTAATGAAATTTTTCTATCGATAGCATATGTCTGTAAATATTGATTTTTGTCATAGTGTTGATATCATAAATAGACGTTTCTCAATAATAATAGTTGATGGACGGTCAAACTTGATAGTTGCCAGTAACAATTGGTAACAGGTGATTGATTAAATATTAAGAAAATTACTGTTTTTAGACCAGGTCTATAGTCATATTATAGACCAAACGAATCACAATAAAATTATTTAAAAAGTATTTTAATTCTTTTTTATAGTGTATGGTCAGAAAATACTCTCATTTCAATAAAAAATATTATTTTGATTTAATTTATGAGTGGGGCCTTTAACCTGCTCTAGGTAAAATTTTCTCAGAGCCAACACTTAACTATTGATAATAATAATTGATAACCAGTGATTAATTAAAATATTTAGTACCATAAATAGACATTTCGAAACAGCAACGCGATGAATGGTTAACATTCAACGGCCAATTTACTAATAAAAAATTATCAAAGATTAAAAAGTGTTCGGTACCATATATAGACATTTCGTAACAATAATTTCAAACAGTCAACGTTTAACCATTGATGCTAATATTGATAACAAGTGATTAGTTAAAAGTGTTTAGTATGTATCACAAATAAAAATTTCTTAATAATAATTTTAGATGGACAGTCAAAGCTTAACCGCTCATGGTAGTAATTAGTAAATACTCTCTCTGTCTCAAAATATAAGTTGTTTTTAAATGATTATTTTGTTCCAGGATATAGATCGTTTCAAGAATTTTAAAAAGTAATAATTATATTTTTTCAATATTACTTTTATTTACACTAGATATAATAAATACTTTTACAAGTAACTATTAATTTTGAGATAAAGGATAATTTAGTCAATTTACTCTTGATTTCTTTATAATCCACGAAAGTTAATTACTTTCTTATTTCTTGTGCAAAAATTTTAAACAATTTATATTTTGAAAAGAAGAGGTAGTGATTAATTAAAAGGTATTTGATATCATAAATAGTCATTTCTTAACAACAAGATCTGATGGTCAACACTTGATGATTGATGATAATGATCACATGTTAATTAATTTGACGAGCATTTGATATATAACTAGTAATTAATTAAAAGTGTTGGTACCATAAATAGACATTTTTCAACAATAATATCAGATGGACGGTTAAAGCTTAACGTTGTTGGCAGCAATTGGTAACTAGTGATGGATTAAAAGGCATTTAATACCATAAATAGGCATTTCTTAACATAATATCTTATGGTCAATTCTTGATAGTTGAAGATAGTGATCAAATGTTAATTAATTTTCATGAGTCATAACTGAAGTTAATGTGATATAATCAAAAGTATTTCTAATGTAATTATGATTCATCAGTCGCTAAAAGTGTTTCACTTACATTATATTATGTCTCATTACAGCTCACAAAATGTAAAAAGTGAAAGGTTTGGAGTTCGAGTCATTTCAACTATAGTTGTTTTCACCAATTTGGTGATCCAAAGGAAAGACTATTCTTTGTGTAACCCGTTGTGTTGTTTCGACTCATAAAAGCCTTCAACGTATTAAAAAAAAATCTTGTACCAATTAAAATACGTAAGAGGCAAAAAAAAAAAAAAAATGGTCCATTATAATGAAAAAATTGTAGGCGCAACCATAATTAGGCAAATGAAGGCGAATTTTCTAAGTCATTAGTTTTAATTATTTTGATGATCATTGAACCTCCTCATAAGCCAAATAAATAATTTACACTAATTCCGAACATGGACAAAAATAATGATAGTTTAATAATTATTTACCTCTTAAAACCGTCGTTTCAGTGAAAAAAAAAATCTATGTTGATTGATGATCAGCAAAAAGTAATAATGAATAAATAATAATTTTTATTTATTTAAATAATAAATTGAGATTTTCAGCAAAACACATAATTCATCTGGTAGTTTCGAGAGATTCTTCTTAAATCGGTGATTCAAGCACTGCCGGCTTATTGTATGAGTGTCTTTGAACTGCCTCTGAGTCTCTGTACTGAGTTGGAAAAAATGATGAATAGTTTTTGGTGGGGTTTGAAGGGTAGTGAGAAGAAGCTCCATTGGTTAGCTTGGAATCGAATGTGTGGAAGTAAAAAAGATGGGGGAATGGGTTTTAGGGATCATCATTGTTTCAATATGGCTATGTTAGCGAAACAAGGGTGGCGTCTTCTGACTTCGCCTAATACTCTCCTTTATAGAGCTCTCCTTTAATAGAGTTTTCAAATCTAAATATTTCCGTGACTGGAGGTTGCTTGATGCCCAAACGGGTCATCAACCCTAGCTTTGGGGTCTGAGGGGTATAATGTCTTCCTAACATGATCTTGAAACAGGGAGTTTAAGTGGAGGGTTGCGCAACTGTTGTGAAGGACCCTTGGTTACCCATTGCTGGAGTCTTTTATGTGGAGGATGGTAGTCTCTTTATTGATAATAATCTCCTGGTGACAGATCTTTTGGTGGAGGGGGAGAGAAAATGGGATGTGGCAAAGATTATTAATCTTTTTTCTTTGAGAGATATCCATAATATTCTTGATATTCCCCTTAGTGTAAGATATGTGGAGGATGAGCTGATTTGACATTATGATAAGAGGGGTAATTTTAGTGTTAAATCATGTTACTATCTTGCCTTGAGGGTGTTGGGAAGGGGTGATGAACGTATAGAAGGTGAGGGGTGGGAGAGTATCTGGAAGTTGAATATTGCACCAAAAGTCAGAGATTTCATTTGGAAAACTATGCGTAACTTATTGCCTACTCAACGGAGATTGA